GTAGGGAAACTGTTTTTGTTCACTAGTCCACCAAGCTTGATTGTAAATGTGGTTGCGTAGGAGACACATGAGTTTGCACTGGTGAATCTGAAGAGCAGAAATTCAATTAATAGGTAGATTTTTTTTTTTTTGTTGTTTTGATATTTATTTAGTTGATGGTCTCTCTAGCTGATGTTTTAAGTAGCTGCTTATTCACTTAAGACCCTTGTCTCCTCTTATAGAGGATCTTATGTCTCTTCTGGATGCTGACATACATTCTGCTCACCCAAGTGTCATTATTGATGCTGATGCTATGTTTTCAGAAGATATTAGTTACTTTGGTTATCCATCCTTTCGGCGCTCATCACTTTCCAGGCTAGGCTCATCCAGAGGTAATTTTGCACCTTTTTTCTTTGTAATAAGTAGTTTGCTGTGGAAAAAGCTAGTGATAGTACACAGTGGTGGTTTAGATTCCGATTTAATGCGAAAGTAGATTGTGATATGTTGTCAAATATAGAGTGGACAAATAGACTGTTACTCATTATCAAAATTATTAATGAATTCTGAATATTAGCAGGTAAGTTCTGCAAGAACCTTGATAGTTATGTACTTTAAATCTAATTGTTGATCATTGGTGTTGCAAGGTGTTATAAAATTTTTGCATGTTAAGTTTATTTTAAACTGTAGTGTAAGTGCCTACTAATACAGAGATTGCATTACAAATATTTTATTATGCTCAAAATTGAGTAACGATGATATGCAGCATTCTTAATATTTTCTTTTTTCCCCCCTTTTTTTTTTTCTTCCCCCCTTCCCCCCTTTCTTTTGGATTGCTCTTTGTTCACTGTTCTTCACATTTCCTTAATTTAATTGTTCCATGGCAGAAGTTATTTCTGTGGAATAAGGAACTTTCGATACTAAGGAGGGAGAAGCTTGAATTCTACTTTTTTTTGGAAGCATATTTGTAGGTGGATAAGGAGAACTTTTGGCAGCTGAGGAGAAAAAATTGCTTTGAGCAGTGTTAAGTGTTTTTTTTTTTTTTTTTTTAAAAAGCATATTACACTTAAAGGACTTGTAACAGACCATGCAGCAATTTCCTATCTTTTTGAAACTGTTGTGCAAATGCCTAGAGTATTTCCAAACTGTTAATCCAACCTCTGCTGTGATTGTTTGTTTAGTACCGTTTTGTTGCCTTTCATGAACATATTTTAGTCTATTAATCACTGAACATGTAAGTTCCTGTTACAAAATTATTAGTTGGGGTCAGTGCGATGTTTCCTAGAAATAAGTACAGTACTTTATGAAATACATCTGTAAGACAAGCTGTTGTGTTTGGCTTATGTAAAAACTTTCCCACTTGTCTAATACAGCAAAAGACCCAAGACTTGGCATAATTTGTTGAAACTACGATGTATGAGATGACCACACTATTATATGTAATTCCAGTTGATTTTTGTGAGCATAAGTGAAGTACTTAATAGATTAAGTGCATTATGTGCATGTACGAATATTCAGCATCTGACATCACTCCTTCTAAATTCCTCCTTTTTTTTCCTTTCCTGAGGTTATTCTATATAAGACGTTACCACGAATTTTATAATCCTTATTTTCCATGCATAGTTGACTCTTGGAAAGTTAGTTTGATTACCTGATTTAAAAAATTTATCTGCATGAGCGAACTGCAGAGTACTGGCTTTAGACAGTTTATAGGCCAATTGGAGGGGAAGCATTTTGGTAAGGAACATTTTCCTGCAAGGATCCTTTTTAAAACTTGTCTGACTCTTGAAAAGTTTTCATTTGATCTACTCAAAACAGATACACTTTCATTTATTAAATCCAGTCCTATGGAATGTTGCTTTAAACAAAAGGGGTTGGATTATCAAACTTATGAGAGCTTTTTTTGATGCTTGCTTTCCTTAACCTTTTCAAATTACTGTTGGTTTTTTTTTTTGAAAGTTATGAAACTCTCTAATAAATACTCTTTTTTTGGTTTGCGTAAAGATATCTAACAGACTGTACAGACTTAGGGTTTTTTGTTGCTGTTAACCACATTGCTAAAACAATACTACAAAACTCTGCATATTGTACTATAAATTATGATGTTAAATGTATTGGCCTCTTATGATTTAAGTGAAAATGCATTAGCCTATTTTTATAGTACACAAAACTGTAAGACTTCTTTATTTCTAGCTTATTTTTATGTTTAGTAATTCTAAAGTGCTTATATTTTGAAAGGATTAATATATTGAATGTTGCATGTCAGGACTTTATTTTTAATCTTTGTGAGTAGATTTAACTGCTGTTAGTTGCATCCTGAAGGGTCTTTACTAGAGAGTGGCTTACTTTTATCCCACTGGTGTGACCCAATTGCATACCAGTTCTCCTTCTTCCCTTAGAGAGAGACTCTGAGCTGTTGCGTGAACGTGAGTCCGTTTTACGTTTGCGTGAACGAAGGTGGCTTGATGGAGCCTCATTTGATAATGAAAGAGGCTCTACAAGTAAGGAAGGAGAACCAAACCTGGACAAGAAGAATACACCTGTTCAAAGTCCTGTCTCCTTAGGAGAAGACTTGCAGTGGTGGCCGGATAAGGTACTGAAATTTTTTTTGCTATTTTGTTTGCATGCTGTGCATTACATCTGTTTATTTTTTTCCAAATAAATACCCTGTGTTTCCTTTATGACTATCACATCTCAGTTTGTGAAATAAGGCATATTGTTTATGCACTTAGGAAAATGATAAATAGTTACACTCTTACAGCTGTAATTCTGTTGTTACTGTTTTAATTTCTTCTCCATACGTTTGGAAGCCACTGCTGTAGATCATAAGGTTTGTTGGTTTTTCTTTTTTTTTTTTTTTTTTAACTTAGGTGCTCAAATCATTCAATAGGCAATAGGAATCTCATGAACCGGTTTAAACTATCTTTCAGGAAGAAAACTTTTTTTTTTTAATTAGCATTACTATTCCCGGAGATCATTTGAGTGGATCAGGCATTGAAACAATTATGGTGGAAGTATTTTGAGTTGACCAATAACTTGAATGAGTATTGGTTGCCTATTCAGAATTCCTTTGGCTTTGATTAGCTGGTTTTCTTTGTAATCCTAATTCCATTTTCAAGGCAAGAAGTAATTCCCTCATGAGGTACGAAAATAGTAGGAACACCAGCTATATGTTGCTAATTGGTTATCTGTAGTCATTTTCTTATTAATTACCTAGATGCTTGGGGAAATTACCAAACCCAAATTTGCCAAACAAATAAAAAAAAAAAAAAAAATCACAGGAAGAGAAGTGATGTTTTTTATTAAACTAAATTTTATGGACATAGGTTGTCTTTTTCCTGAAATGGGAACCCATTTCTGTCTGCAGTATCTGTGAGGTTGCTAATTTGATATATCACTCTTTCTTTTCCTATGTCTGTTTTTTTCTTTTAGGATAGATATAGATAGTGAGCTTGAAGAGGGAGGTGAATTTAGAGTCTTGTTTCTGCTTATAGCAGCTTACTTTTAGCTGCTGTCATCTTCATTTGAGCATTCAAACTGAGAAATGAAGATACCTGAAAATAATGTTGGTCTAATAGCTGCTCTCACAACCAGACTTTTTATGTCCAAAGTGTGCTTTCATTTTTTTCAGATAGTGATGCTGAACTTCTGTGTCAGTAAAAATTGGCAGCTTTTGTCCCCCTTGCTTTGTCTTAATGGTAGAGTGGGAGAGTCATCTAGCTTGGGTAGAGGGAGATTTAAGGGGTTTTAGCATCAAAGAATAAATGTAGTTTTGATTGGAAATACTAACTTACCTTTTTTATTTGCACTGCTGTGTTTTGGTAACATTGCTATGGCCATTATTACTGTTGTGGTTTTTGTTCTGTGTTTTTTTTTTTTACTATGTCGGGAATGTTTTTCATGTTAGCTCCATTCTTCTCTCTGACCCTGAAACTTAGTAACTAAATTAGGGTATTCTTTTTTTTTTCTTGTATGAGGTTTTTTATTTGCAAACCAAGCAGATTCTGCCCTAGGACAATTATTGCAGTCTTTTGTTTGGCATCTATATTACTTGTTGTGATATGTAATTGCATGCTTGTTCAATTTAAATATATCAAATTTCTTCCAAGATACCTGTTTGCATATGCACTAATATAAACCCTAGCTTCCAGTTAAATGAAGGTGTCTTACTGGCCTTTCATCTTTATTCAAAAGTAGTTAAACTTTTCATCCTCTCTTCAGCTGAACGTTTCTAAGAAATTGTTCTGCATCTTCCTTGCTATACCCCCTCTGTGAAGTTTTGTTGATATTTTCCATCAGAAATTCAAGATAAATCCTGGGGAAGATTTAGCTCAGAGGCCTGTTCAGATGTTTCTTCCGTTTTAGAAGTTGGAAGGGAGATATTGAAATGTTAATGGAAAAGACAGTAATCTAGGGTAGAAATTAAAGTACACAAGGAATCACAACAAAATAACCAGTCTTGTTTGCAAACATTTTTTCCTTCACTTTTTTTTGTTTTGATGTTTAGCATTTGAGACAGGACTGTAGTGGTCCATGATGAGGATGTGTTTATGGGAGGTAAAGTGCTGACCTAAAGGGAATGGATGAGACTTTTGGAAAGCTGATAGTGTTCCCAAATGCATCAGTTTCACCCAGTCTGAGACTAATGGTGGTGAGACATGTTGCATAGGTAATAAGTTTTCTCTGTCATAAAAATGAAATCAACTGCTCAAGACTTCAAGTCAATGAATGGATTCTTCTGGTAGTTCAGACATTATTGGACTGTACTACTGTTAGTCTACATTGCCACGTGACAGCATGTATACAAGAGAAATGCTTGTAGTTGCTTCTATCCCTGCCTGCTGCCTTCTTTCTCCTCTTTCCCAAAATACTGGTAAACATTTTGAGCTATTGGTAAGAGATGTACTGAATCCCAGGTTATTCAAGGGTGCACTCATACCCTTGAATTATGTAAGTAGAATTATGTTGCTTTTTGATTTGTTTTGAAAAGCCAGAATTTTAGAGGGAAACTTTTTTTTTTTTTTAAAATCCCCGAGTCAAGAGATCTTCCCATCTTTATTTGAGCTGTGTATCTTCTTAAGATACCATGAAAGCTCTTAATAAACTGCCCAAGTTAATTGCCATGTGTATGTTACTGCTGAGCTTCAGGAAAACAGTATTGATTCCTTTCTTCCCTCAGTCTGTCAGAAGCAATAGTGCTTTTTTGTCTGTGTTGTGTTTGAGGGTGTGCTAAGCTTGAAAGAAGCTGGATATGTCTTTATTTTCAAATTCCACATTCATGGAAACTCTGGGAAAAAACAAAACAAAACAAAAACCAACAAAACAAACAGTTACTCATGATTTTGCATATATGTATTTGTAATATTGCTGCCTCAGACTTTGTATTTCTGTATTTGTAGGATGGAACAAAGTTTATTTCTATTGGAGCTCTGTATTCTGAGCTTGTGGCTGTTAGCAGTAAAGGGGAACTCTATCAATGGAAGTGGAGTGAATCAGAGCCTTACAGAAATGCACAGGTACTGTACATCTTTAATTGCTTACCCTCAGAATAATTTATATGCTTTGGATATCTAAAATATTTTTTTGTTTCCAAAGAATCCTTCGCTACATCATCCACGAGCCATGTTCTTGGGATTAACCAATGAAAAGATAGTGCTTCTTTCTGCAAATAGTATTAGAGCAACTGTTGCCACTGAGAATAACAAGGTATGAGATGTGTGCTGGTTGCTGAATTTGACAAAGCTGTTTTTTTTTCCAGTTACAGTATATTACGGAGAAGTTGATTCTTCAGCTTCGTCAGTACTAGAAAGTACTTTGTTCATTCCACTTCTTTTCTTCTATATAGATATGAAAACAAAACAGAAACCCAAGTGGTGTTCTGTAAAAATGCAAAAAGATATTAAAATAAACAATCCAGCACATATATAGCTGAAAGAGTGAGAAGATGCCTGTTTTGCCTGATTAGCTGAACTTTTTGACTTTTGCTGTTATTGTATAAAATGACACTGGTTTAAGAATAGAGCAGCTTGTTAAAGTTCTGTACATATTTACTAGACAAAGTAAGGACATTGAAACTTTCAGTGCTGTAAAGTGAATTATCTAAATATGCTTTTCTGCCCAGTTAAGGTTGAATGTAAAACAGATTTGGTAAAGTGTATGCTCTTGTTGCAGTATTTTTTTTTTTTTTTGACAACTGCATTTTTTAAAATCTTATTTTATTTTTCTTGGGAACTGGAAATAGAGGGGAAAAACAAAACCACCCTGGGAAGCTCTTTTCTGAGGAGAGAAAAGGTGGTGTGAGATAAAATCACAAAGGGCATAATTTGTTTTTGTCTTGGTTGTTTTTTGCTTTGTTGTTTATTTTTTTTCAAAACCAGTAAATGTTACATTTAGTGTTACATTAGTGCAACTAAGGTGCAACTTTTCTTTCTCCTTGTTTTTTCCTCCCTGCATTTTCTATTCTGTTTTTCCCTTAGGTTGCTACATGGGTAGATGAAACTTTAAGCTCTGTAGCTTCTAAGTTAGAACACACTGCACAGACATACTCAGAGCTTCAGGGAGAGCGGATTGTTTCTCTGCATTGTTGTGCTCTTTATACGTGTGCCCAACTAGAGAATAACTTGTATTGGTGGTAAGTGAATACTGTGGTGTTTTACAGCTGTGCACGCCTTCATGCCCTTGGCTCCCAGAGGCACTGCAAAACTACTGAACCACAGTTCTTCTGAGTTCTGTAACTCTGCATTTGAGCTTAGGTTCCCTTTAAGTGTATTTATTATCTTCTTTAATGCCTAAAGCTTTTGTATCCATTTATAACATCCTTATTAGAACAAGGTTTTCCTTTTAGGAGATATGTATAAATGCTTTAACATTCAGATATGAGTACTACACAGTACCAGAATAATCTTCTTCATGCCTTTCAGGCCTTTTTTTCAGATTATAAATATGGATCAGACTTAACCATGTCCACATTCTCTGTCAGATTCTGATAGAAAATTTTGTGTTAGTTTGTGGCCCAAATCTTAAAGAAGAGAGAAATAACATCAGATACTTCCTCTGAAGCTTATTGTTATTACATGATGATGAGTTGGAAATCAGAGCATGGAAAATTGATCCTAGGAAACAACTTTCTCATTAAGTTCTAATAACTCCAGAAAATATTTAAGTAGACCTGTATGTAGGGTTGTAAATTTAAACACAGACATGTTCAATTCTAACTTCTAGCCCCAAATCTCAGAATTACAGCTCTGTTTCTTGGCCCTTATGTTCTGTCACAGCTGATACACCTCATGTACAGTAATTGCTCTTAGTATAGAAACTACTAAGCCATAACATTGGAGATACCTAGTTGTTAGAACCTGCCATCTTCACTGCTTTTAGAATAGTCAGTAAAATATATAGAAAGAATTATTAACATCTATATGTAGTCTTTGAAAGTATTTATTAACCAACATGTTATTTCTGGGCAGAGTTAAATGTCAGTAGTGGGGAGTTTAGGTTAATCAACCTGAGGTAGACAGAAGCTTCTGTTGCTATCTGTGTTCTTAGTTACAGTGTTCTGTAGTACACTAGACAGGATTTCAGTTTCCAGTGTTGCATAGGACTGATGCTTTTCATGTTTTACTTAACATGAAAGAGATTTTCAAATAGAAGCATCTAACTCGCTGACTAAAACATAAGGTGTCAAAATAGTAAGCATGCCTAACTGTACATGGGTATTATTTTCAGCTAAACCGAGTGGATCCAATTACAAAACAAGTGTCCTTCCCCCACCCCACCCCACCCCTTGCAGCTTGAGTCTGTCATAAGAGTCCTAGACTCCAGCATGTCCCCAGAGAGAAAGTGAAGCTTTTAGAATTACAACCAAAAATTTATCCTGTTCCCAATGGCTACTAACTCTGGGAATTATCACTAGTTATGTGAAATATATCCTCAGGTTGAGGGGGACAACCCACAGCTTGGGAGCTGTGACTGGAGTGTGCCATCTGTAACAGAGGTTTTGCAGCATTCTGGACTAGAGGGAGAGCCGTTTGGCAGTGACATATCCTATGTGCTCTCCCTATTCCTCCTACTAATAAACTGGCCACCTGAGATGAAACTGGAAGGTGGAGGGGAATATAGAAGTTGTCATTTCTATAGTGCTTTGAGATTTTAGAGAAGATGGCACAGACTTGTATTTTTGATCATGACTACCTTAAACAGAAAGAATAAACAGCTCAAAGTTTCTTCCATAGCCGTTTTTAAAGTAATATGCATTTTTCCACAGGGGTGTAGTTCCTTTCAGCCAAAGGAAGAAAATGCTTGAAAAGGCCAGAGCAAAAAATAAAAAGCCGAAGTCTAGTGCTGGTATCTCCTCTATGCCAAATATAACTGTTGGAACCCAGGCAAGTGCAAATGTCACAAGTGGCATTTTTATATGTTTCAATTACATAACTGTAAGTAAATGTGTCTTATTAGTGGTGGTGTTTTTACAAATGTGATTATTGACGTAAACATGGAGGAAGAAGCTGTACTGGTACAGAGTACTTCTGGTTTTGATTAGGTACTGGTTCTGTACTTTGAGAGAAAATAAGTACAGAAATATTCTCAGTAGAGCACGTGGCTTTGTAAATGATTTGGCATTTTAATGCCTTCAATGTCAGAGTCTGAGTTTGATTTATTTATGCAGCGTGATAGGTCTTTGGTTTGAAGCCTTTACCAAACAGGTTAATAGCTGATACAGAGGTGTAGGATCCTTCTCGTGATTAGTATTAGAACTAGTACCAGACAAAATGACTCCTTCACATTTCTTTTGGTTCCCAAGCCATTCTGATCAACTCTGGGATGAGTGTCAGTTGTTGACTTGTACCTCTTGTGGTTGAGCATCAGGATACTATATGTTAAACAGCTGTAATCATAAAGCTGTTGCATTCAGCTGCACAAAGTGCATAGTATATCATACTGACTTTCTTCATCTAGTTCCATTTTTTTTTTTTCCTTTCTTGACCACTCCATATGTCACTAAGAAAATGCATGTGTTTATGATTTCCCTCAGTATACCACATTGTTCTCATAAATATTTCTGTCTGTAGGTCTGTTTAAGAAATAACCCCCTCTATCATGCTGGAGCAGTTGCTTTTTCAATCAGTGCTGGAATTCCTAAAGTGGGTGTGTTAATGGAATCTGTTTGGAACATGAACGACAGCTGTCGATTTCAACTTCGGTCACCTGAGAGCTTGAAAAGCATGGAGAAAGCCAGCAAAACTACTGAGGCAAAGTGAGTGGTGAAAGCACGCATGCGAACACATGGAACGTTCATTTGATATTGTCTTCAATTGGTGATTGATTAAAAATTGAGAAGGAGGGTCAGGTTTTTATAAGTTTGAACCTTTTACCTTCTGTATAAGATTCCAGCTTTCTTGTAAGCTCTGCTAAACTTGCAGAAATGCTCACTTGCAGGAAGGGCATCTCAGTTGTGTGGAACCGTTTCCTTACAGAAATATGAAACGCAGAAGGAATATTAAATGAAGACTTTCCTGCAGTGATTTATAAAGTTTGCAGGATTTCATATTTGAATAACTGAAAGTGGTTTTGTTATGGAACTAACTGTTTTCAGGCCCTTCTTTATGGTGTTTAGAGACTGGTTTCGGCCCCTCCATAGTCTGGAAAAGAAACCATTGGGCGGCCATTGCCATTTACATGTTTCAGTTAGGATGGTCACTTTGTCTGTTGTCACAGAAAAGATTTCACCTTTTTCTTTCTTTATTCTAAGTAACACCTAAGTAATACCTGTTATTCTAGACCTGAAAGCAAACAGGAGCCAGTGAAAACTGAGATGGGTCCTCCGCCATCCCCAGCTTCCACTTGTAGTGATGCATCTTCAATAGCAAGCAGTGCATCAATGCCGTATAGTAAGTAACATGTAGCTCATAATAACACAAATATATAGATATGAAGTTTTCATAAAAGGCACTTTGCAGCAATTGCAGAATTGTGTTTGTCTGAACTGTGATATATGTAAAAACTTTTGTAATAGAGGTTAGATAATCAGTGACTAGTCAGTGTTAAATTTAAATGTATTAATATAAGCAGTGACTACTTGAGGAAAGGCATATCTAAGAAAGCATAACAGTGCTCAGAATCAAAGTATCTTTCAGGCGGTGATCATGAGGAGCTCTGAATATAAAGTTGTTTGTTAATTGCAGTGTGATAGTGAGTTTTTTTAGAGACCAGTAGTTCAACATGTTTTGGAAAATTCCTTTTAAGGTTAAGCTGTTCTTGCACACCTTGTCTTGCAGGTGAACTTCAGTGCATAAAGCAGTAGTTCATCATCTCTTACATGGAATGTGTAAAACTAGACATTCTTTACTAACACACAAAAGCAGTGAGAGAAGGTTTATAGTACAGGTTGTACTTAAAAACTTAAAAGCTTGCATTAGGATTCATGTAACTGACCTATTAAGCATTTTTTTCTTCATTTAAACCTATACATTTATAAAGGGTTAGTTACAATGCTGTCTTACGAAGAAATGTTTTCTCTGCTCACATTTCTTCTAGTTGTTAATGTACAGCAGCTCTAAGAAGCATTCATCTAGAGAGTCAAATGGCCTCATTCAGTGACTGAGAATCTTGTATGCTCAGACCTGCAGTACTAACCAGTTTTACTAGTGGAGTCTTGCTGCTGATTTCTTCTTCTTTCAGCTGTAGTTTTTCACTGATTATAACTTTGCTTTGGATTTTGAACTAGTGTCTGAAGTTAACTGAAGTTAGCTTAGAATTTTGTACTTTAGCTTCATTAAATGTGTTGATAATATTAATTATTCTATAAACTCAGTATAGGAGATTAAAGGTTCTTGTCGGTGTTAATTTAGCCATGTTATGTATTTAAACTTGATCCTGAGTGTACTACAGTTACTGTTCAGATATCATGTCTTTGCAGCAAATATAACTGTATGGCAGTTGCTGTTAGCACAAATAGCAATTTTCTGCCTCATTTGCTACTTTCCTAGATGCTTACCAAAAATTCATATGTCGTGGACAAGCGGACTTTTAGTAAGGATGATATATAAAGCACTGTAGCAGGGCTGAATGGAAGGTGTTACAGTGCCAGCCTGTCTACTTAATGAATATCTGAGCCCTGCCAAAACAATTTCTTGTATTCTAATTATTTTGCTTAAATGTCCTAAGAATTGCTTTTTTTTATCAGATGGTTGTTATTAGTGCTTATTTCATAGAAAAACTTGAGAGTGGCATAGTATGCCCTTAGGTTGCTCTGATGTAGCAATCTAACAAGTCAGATTGTTGTTAGCCTCTTGGTAATTTCTAGATTTGACTGTTCATAACCTTGATGAGGTAAAGGTTTGGTGTTTACTAAACACTGCATTTTGATGCTTTGATTAAATATTTCAAGTTATTTTCTTTAATTATAACTCTCTTGTCTCAGAGCGACGACGATCTACTCCTGCCCCAAAAGAGGAGGAGAAAGTGAATGAAGAGCAGTGGTCTCTGAGGGAAGTTGTGTTTGTGGAAGATGTTAAGAATGTTCCTGTTGGCAAGGTTTGTCTAAAATATGCTGTCCCACCATCTTTGGGGAGAAGCCTTTTTTACTCAGTTTTTTAACAGTTAGCTAACTGTTTAAAAGAATCTTAGTTTTGGGAGTGCTTGAGGGTGTTTCTGAGTATTCTGTCTTTTGTTGCATTTTTATTTTGTCCATAATACAAAGGATGGTAATAAACTGAATGAGTTGTGAATATAATGTGATGAATCTTAAAAAATAACATTCTGGTACTTTTAAGTTGAACCACAATAATACAAAAAGCAGGTGGTGTTTTATTCAAATGGTTGTTTTTGGTGACTTAAGCAATATTTCCCACACATCCCATGAGGTTGTGAAGAGTTACACATGTTGTGACTGACTTTTACATACACAGCAGCTGGACATTTGGGTGGATCTCGTGTTCTGGCAAACAAAACCCAGAAGTGTTTTGATTTAGAAATTACATGCTTAATTAATACGACTATAAAGCTATTTATTACTCCAGAAAAACCTGTTTGTTTGGCCCCTGTAATTTGTTTCATTTTCTCTCTGGTAAACTTTTGCTCTAAGAGTATTGTAGAGGAAAATACGCTGTTTATCTGACATGTTGTGTGATATTAGGAGAGATTAGGTCACTTCAACAGTTCTCTGCTGTGCTTTCCAAAAATGAAAGCAATGGAGAAGCCAGTACACGTCTTCCACAAAATGAAGAGATTGGATTGCTTTCTACTTGATTCATAGACAATAAAATCAAAAAATTACCAAAAGTTACCAAGTGTCCAACAAAAGGCAGCTGGCTGTAGTCAGTTATTTTTATTTTGCATCCCCAATGTACTTACTTGTGCAGGAGTGTAAGATTTGCCTTGAGCACTACCTTGTAAAGGATGAGGCCCACGATGAGTTTTCATTATTGAGTTTAGGTCATTTCTGCAAAATTAAATATGGAGCAACATAATTCATTGAAACACTTCACCTTCAGTAAATAAGGTTTTGAAATCTAGTTGAAGTCCCTGGAACAATTTTTTTTTTTTTTTTTTTTTTTTTTTTTGCTTCTAGTGCCAGCTTTGGGAAGGCCCCTGGTATCCTTATCTGTCCTTCCTGTTTTAGGTCCTAGGATCTTTCATGCTACAGACTGTTTTAATGTTTCTGTATACAGTCGGAAAGGTGTCCATGTACTGTGTCAAGAACTACTACTGTAATAAATATTGAAGAGCTCGAATTTTTATATATCGACGTTTTCAATTAAATGCAAAAACCACACTAAGTGGTCTGTCTTCTGAATAGAGTTATTGGTGCTGAGTCTATTCTGTACTGGTCATTTATGGGAAGGATGCTTTTTTCCCTTCATAAAGCATGCTGACCTTTTGTAGTGATGTTACATGGTCATTCACCTTTTTTCCTTTTACGGTTTTGTGACACTTTATCTTTAGAGTTTAGATAGAATCCAGCAGACAAAGCCATAAAATTCTTTTGCCTAGTGATGTCCAGGTTAGACAGAAATACAGTTTATGCCCTTTTATGTTCTGTTTGTAATTTGGATCTGCTGTGCCATTATATGAGACAGACTGGAGGCACCTCTGTCTGCATAAGAGTTATTCTTTGCAGTGTTTACCTACTGGCTCCAGAATAACTGATGTCACTCATTGTGGAACAGTAATGTTTGTAATTTAGCTTGTTGGGAGCTGAATTAAGTACATCAATGATTTGAATTCTGAACAGTCTGACTGTTCTATGCATACTTTTTGACTATGTACAGAGATTCAGACTGCAAAAACATAATCATATGGGTTTGGGCAGTTAAGACTTCATGGCTTAATAACTTTTACTCTTTTAGAGTCCACCCAGGTATACCTTCATCTGGTCTTCCATGGTCTTTTGTTTACTGAATGACATTCTAAAAACTCCTTTCTTTGATATGTTGCTATGGATGGCCTCAGTGGCATTAGGATCGTGCATGAGAATATACTTTTCCTGTGAAACCTGGGAATTCCTTACCTTTTATGTTCCAGAACATCAGAAAGGATTTGAAGCACTGTTCTAAGTACTTGATGTTCCAAATCATGGTGTCATAGCTGCTCTCAAAGTGCTGCCATCAAGTAAAATACATGGTCATAGAGCATATGAATATTGGGATGTCTTTGAGAAATACATGCTGGTGATTTGGGTGTTTTTTGAGCACAGCATGAAGTCAATTGCACTAAACTAATTGATCTGTGAAGCCAGAAATATTACCTTATGCAGTGATTCAGATCTGAAGTAGTAAGAGGAATAAAAAAATAATTTGTGCTTTTGGTTGCAAGAGCATCTAAAATTTTGAACATTTATGTTCTGCAGAATAAAGTGAATAAAATGTGATAACTGTGAGCTTCTGTCAAAATGCCAACTTTTAAAAGGATTTAGATAAAAAACAATTGTCCACTTAAACTTCAGGAAGTGGAATTATAGAGAGAGAAAAGGGGGTTCAGATTTACTGATGCTCAACCTGTGTTCCTGAAATAATCTTTTTCCTGGAAGATTTGTGTTCCTGTACTTTTGGATGTATACGCAACGTCATGATGTCTCAAAGTGCTTGGTTAAAAACCTTCCAAGGCCACTGTTGTTCCATTTATAGAATGGTGGACAGGTAGATGGTGCCAAGTTGTAACATGCCTGTTTCTTTTTGGGCTTTTACTGATCTTCATGTAGTAACAGTGAGCCCCTCAGTGCTAAGATCTAAGATGACTGCTTGTGATTTTTCTGATACTAGTAGATCATACAACCAGCATTTTACCCACTGCTTCATAAATGTGGATTGTGCGTGGTGCCAAAAACAACAAATGACCAGAGACTGTGATGAGAGGGTAAAAGTTTTTACGTTGGGGCAGTCTTGAGAGAAATTAAGAAAGCAGAAGTCTGCTAGATATACTCTTGGATTTAGTAATCTTTCTCCTTTGAATATGTTATCATCCAATCTCAAGTTAAAGCCTTCATAGGCTTGGAACAAAACAAAGCCTTTATTCCTCCAAGTCTGTCATTAGATGGAGGAGGTAATGATTGTAAGATTATCCACCTAATGGAAGACTGATGGAAGGAGAAAGCCTGACACTTGTCTCTCTTGGTGTCTATATTGGTGAGAAATCTGATGGAGGAATGTTTCAGTGTAGTTTAGAAAAGTAACAGGCTGAAATAAGCTCACTTGTATCAGAGGAATAGAAGCTGGTTTTGTCCATTCCATGCACTTTGAGATATTCTGCTTACCTGTGTTAGCTTTTGAATCTCTTCTTCTGAAAGGCCTTAAATGGTGTCTGGAACCACTATTAGAACAAAAGGATAGGGAACCTGGATTGGAGCTGCTTTTTCCTTCTTTGGCAGCTGTGGTTCCTTTTGGTTGGAGGCTTTCCATTAGCAGTGTCCAAGGCCTCCCCAGACTGCTTCTGTTCAAGGTTGTCTTCAGTCAGGTGAGACTTCTATGTTTTGCCAGTTTTTCAGTTCTTATGTCCAGAAAGCTTATCAAGTCTTACACCCTTAGTGAAGCATAAATTTGGACTGAGTAGTTAAACTGACTAGTACTTTGTATTGTATTATTTCAGTCAATCACTGGAACTTGTTTTTTGTTTGTCTGAGATTGAAGCCTTCCAATGAAAAAGACAAGTTGAAAGAACTCAGGCTGGATGTAGCCCCAGGAGAGTTTCCTAATCCCTAATAGGAATCTGTTTTTAATCCTACAAAGCTGAATATTTTACAAATTGTGTCAGTATTCCTTTGGAAGTGCTCATTCTACCTTGAGATTAAAGGTAGAAGCCTTTTCTGTGATATTAAAACTTCTTACATTCCAACAAGATTAGATAAAGAAATTTTAAAAATATATTTTCCTTGGTCTTCTGCTACTGTGCTTTGAGAGTAAATTCAATAGAGATAAAGTTTCTACAGATTACCAGTGGATCCAAACAGGTTTGCTTCTGAAAGGCTGAAGTGGTGGTAATCAACGCAGCCTATCGTTAATATGATTCTTGTTCATTTTAAAAAAAAAAAAAAACAAACTGTAAGAGGGAACGAGGGAGGAGAAACAGGTCTGAGGACCTGCCTCTGCTTCCGTTTGAGGAAGGGACTTCAGTTGAATGTTTTTTGACAATCAGTGTGATTTGGCATTATGGGTTAAAAGAGTTTGGAAATGGGTTGATAGTAAGGGTAAAGGAGATAACAAATATGCGTGTCTTTTAGAATATAAATTTTTTTTTTCTTCCATTAAGTAGAAAGATCAGATCTCATTATACTGTAGCTGAAAATGCTCTAAAAAGGTGTTTTGCTTTTGGTAGAGGGAAAGAAAAAATCTTTAAACCTTGATTTTGTTGCTTACTTTTTCACGTCTTTGATTCAGTTCTTTTAATTTATTCCTAATACAGCAAACATTGTATATGTAGTTCTGTAAAATGCTTGTTTCTAATTGATGAAACTTTTGCATTGGCAATATGAACAGTGTAAGTACATTAATTCTGTATGGGGTCACATCTGGTGTCTGGGAGGTGTCTCTGCCCTTGGCAAGGGGGCTGGAACTAGATAATCTTTAAGATTCCTTCTAACCCAAACCATTTTATGATTTTGTAAGCTAAAGTATCTAAAATCTTTAAGCTCTTGCATTTTTATTTTTAATTATTTTCAATGAATTCAGATGTATCATTTCAGTTAAAGGGGGGATGCTGATACTGCTTATTTATCTTGTTTAGTGCCAGCCCATTATACCACATCTCTGTACTGGAGCTTCCTATGTACAACTGCTATTAAGGGTTTCACTCAAGCTCCTAGTTTCTTGCTACATCAGTGTATAGTTTTATTGTCTTGCTGTGTAAAAGACAATAGCTGTAGTGGTAGCTGTTTGACTAAAGAACTGCATTTTAGTTACCTTTTGAAGTGATGAATTTCTTTTCAGCAAAATCTTAATAAATGTATTTTCCAGTAGCGATAACATGATTTTCTTACTGAACCAGAAAATGGGGAATGGAAGATTTGGTACATGGACTCTGAGTCACCATAAAGTTCCAGCAATTTAAAAACAAACTTTATAAAGCATTTCTTTGAACACATGAAAAGTGATTTAAGTGAAAAGTGATGACACTGACAGCAGCTAGAAAGCATGCTGAAGAAAACTTTTTGTTATGGAGATACGATATGTTAAATATTTGGAGACTGCTTCTTAACATGTTTCTTCCCTCTACTCTCCCAATTATAAATTTGAAACTTCATAAACAAGATTTCATATGCTCTGCTAGAGGTTGACCATTTAGAATCTTCAGTTTTCAGAAGCAACCCAAATTTACAAAGTTTTTGTAGAACATTTAGTCATTTAAAAAAAAAAATAAAATAAAATCTACATGTCAGACTAGAAGCTGTGGTTCTATTGGCATGTGCTTTCAGGCTTACAAGTTAGTCAGATTACCTTTAAAACATCTCAACATACCTTGACAAAATTCTTTTGACTGAATCCTTATTTTTGTCTAGAGTGTTATCTTGCATATCTCTGTAGAAATGTCTTTATATAGTCTATATTATTCTTTATTAATCTTTTGATTAGGAGTGAAGCTTGGAATGTTATGGTAGTATTCTTACAGCCATCTGTGATGTTCTACTACTAGAACTAGGAACTCTGCTACTAGAGTGAAGTTTCAGCATATGGGGAGCAACTGCTTTGACTCTATCCATAATAATCTTCATTACAAAAAAAAAATTTGCTAATGCTTTCATATTTTTCAGTATGTCCTTTTCTCTAACATGCTTGATAGGCTGCACCTAGCTAGAGAAATTGGGAGAAAACGTGGAAATGTGTGGATTTTTATGGACTACAATGTCCTGAAAATTTGAGAAATGGTTTTTATCATCGGGGACAGTTTAGATGAAGTTGATTACATCTAGATCTTTAATATTGCCTCATAAGAACTTTTTTTTTTGTAGAAACTATTGAGAAATTAGGGCTTAATCAAGACTGACAGTTGCTTATATCAAATTTTGATCAAGCCTGAGAGCATACAGAGACCTTATTTCTGCTCAAAACATTGTCCTTCCCACCACTCCTCTCCTAACTTTGTTCTCCTTTTGAGAAAGTTGTGGTCTCAACTGGAAACTCAGGGGGCCATGCATTTGGTGATAGCTTAAGATGCTTCTGTATCAAGGAAACCTATTTGGCAGTTCTCATTAGATACACATGGCAGCAACTCTAATTTAGAGAGGTTTACAGTCTCAGAACTGACTGTGTCAGTTGAATAGCCGTGAGGTTGAATACTTCCATTTCCTATGGATCAGGGAAGGGGACAGATGGATAGACTTGCCTGTATCCTTCAGTCCTAAGGGACAGAGTGGAGAACTTTGAGTGTAAGGAGCAAGTAATAGACTCATAAACCAACACTTCTTTTTTCCATTATGCACAGTCATCTTGAGGGGTGAGCCCTAAGACTCTACAGCAGAGGCTTTAAAAATTCGTAGGTGGGGGTAAAAAAAAGTGATCTGTTTCTTGCAGTACAAAAGCTAATGGGCACTTAAATAAGAAGCTCTGTGTAGATGCTTTTTGTTGTATTATTAGCTAATGTTTGGAACTCATTGTCACAAGAATAGTGTTTATTTCTAGAAGTGACTGGACAAATTAGTAAGAGAAGAGTCTATCCAGGCTATTAAACATGAAGTTGTCCTGCTGTTTCATGTAGGTGAAAGCTGGAAAGATACCAGGGAAATACCAGTGGTAGCTTCTCTAGTCAGTTGGTGTTGGTTCCCATTGGACACAGGGTGTGGAAATGGAGCAACCTTGATCTGATTCAGGATGCCTGTGAAGTTGTTAAGAAATCAGAAGTTTTTAACATTTCAGTAATTCTAGCAAAACAACAAGGCTAATGACTTAAGAGCTGTAGAGCTGTATCACTGATTATCGTAAACTTTTTTTGTTTTCCTTATAAGGTCTTGTTTATTTTTAAGCAGATCAACCTGAATAGTTTGTTCAAAGCTTTTGGTAAAACTGTAATGTATTCTGCTTGTAGGTGCTAAAAGTGGATGGTGCTTATGTTGCTGTGAAATTTCCAGGCACCTCCAGTAATGCAAGCTGTCAGAGCAGTTCTAACTCTGATCCTGATCCTTCTTCTCTTCTCCAAGACTGTAGGCTGCTCAGGATAGACGAACTGCAGGTACATCTTTGTGAAACTCTGAGAAAACAGTCTTTTGAAAATGTCAGCATGGTGTGTTTAATTGCATCTTAAAATTTTACATGTGTTTTCAGGTTGTAAAAACTGGTGGAACTCCAAAAGTTCCTGACTGTTTTCAAAGGACGCCTAAAAAGCTGTGTATTCCTGAAAAAACAGAGATCCTAGCCGTAAATGTAGATTCAAAAGGCAAGTAGGACTTACCCTGTAAGATACTCTGTTGGATCCTTTACTACCTGTCTCTCCTCCTAGTAGAAAATGATGACTACCGAACTAACATAAGCAGTTGTGTCCGTTGATATTAGTAATTGCTTAAAAGTGCTTAAGTTAGGGTTCTGTGTTTGGTTTTGTGGTGTTGTGTTTTTTTTTTTTTTTTTTTTTTTTTTTTTTTTTTTTTTTTTTTTTTTTTTTGTTGTTGTTTTTTTCTCTCTACTGGATGCTATCAGTAAAAGACATTCACTTTTCTCTTTGTGTATCTTTGAAGGAGTGCATGCTGTTCTGAAAACTGGGAACTGGGTTCGATACTGCATATTTGACCTTGCCACAGGAAAGGCTGAACAGGAAAATAATTTTCCTACCAGCAGCATTGCATTCCTGGGTCAGAATGAGAGAAGTGTTGCTATATTTACAGCTGGACAGGTTTGTGGTTTTGCATATCAGTCATTTCACTGCACTTCACTTGCATCATCTTTGAAAGGGATGATACAGACTTCTATCAGGATCTTCCAAAGATTGGCAAAGAAGTAGTTCTTCAAACAGGAAAGACTTGCTGCTACCATTAAGATTTTGAAAGTGTGAGAGGGAATAGCAATAAGTATTTAAGCACTTTCAATAATCTTATCCAAATTTTACCTTGAATAAAAAGTAAAAGAGTAAAGAAGGGGGCGGAAAGAAAAATTGACAGAGTAGCTTCTTTGTTAGTGTTAACTTGTTATCTGTCTGTATTTTGGAATTGGGTGAGATGAAAATCCACTCTTGAGGAAAAATGGAAATGTTATCAAAAACTCCCTGTATTTGATACGAAAAGTGATTTACTGAGGTTTAGTGCAACTTTTTATACTATCCAGTGTTAAGTAACTTATTTTATACAGGTTTATTACACTGTGCAGGCCTCTGTGAGGAGGGCTGAGAAAAAAAACCACTAAAACCAATAAAAAAAATTCTGTGTTGTGGAAAAACTTCTGCAAATGTGATATACTTTGTTTAGTATAGTTTAAGGAAACATTTTTTTTTTTGGGGTGAAAGAGCTGAATTTGAATGTTTCATTTTAATGTGTTCAGCTTCCTTTGAAGCATTTAAGTAAGCTAAAAGTATAGGTACTATGTTTTATTGTTAATGTTTCATAATGAGCGTGTATCATAAAGGAGATACTTTTAATAGCATTTATTACGTTAAGCAGATTTTGGGCATTTTAGAAAGGGGAATCTTGATCATGATAATGCTGTGCCATTTGTAACAATGGCAGACAGTGACTTAAATGAGAATTTTTGGTAAACTGTTGTCATTGGCGGTCAAGCAGAGCTGGACCTTTTGCGAAGCTTATTTGTAAATTTTGGAGACTGAAGTATAAAACTTTTTTCCCAAATGTAGGAATCTCCTATTATTCTTAGAGATGGAAATGGTACAATCTATCCGATGGCAAAAGATTGTATGGGTGGGATAAGAGACCCTGACTGGCTTGATCTTCCACCTATTAGTAGTCTTGGAATGGGTGTTCATTCCTTAACAAATCTTCCTGCCAACTCGACCATCAAAAAGAAAGCTGCTATTATCATTATGGCTGTTGAGGTAAAGTGTTTTCTTTACTACAGAATTACGTGCTTTTTTTTATCTTGCTTTTATAAAGCTATGCTTAAAGCAGCTTCATGTTTAGATACTGTTTTCACTTTTTCAAAGAAATGAATCTTCTGTTGAAATTATCTTGGAAACATGAAACTACAAAGAAGTTTACGTAGTAAAGTGAAAAATCCATTTTGGGGTTGCATGGCTTCTATGTCAGGCTTTTAACTAGTAATTTTTTTTTAAGACATTACTTTAAAACTGTTATGTTTTTATGTATATTACCAGTATACAAATTTATTTGTTTTATGGGTGTGCACTTTTTCTGAGGGACCCAACAACTTGTTTTCTTCCGAACACAGTACTTTTTCCCTTTTTTTTTTTTTTTTTTATCTTGTACTCTGAGCATTAGGAAATTCTGAACATCATTTTTTTTTTCACTTTAATCACCTGTAGAGTTCTGTAGTCATCTGTGGTGCTGTATGAGTAGTTCTGCTCTGAATTTAAATATCATGCTTTATGTATAAACCTGTCAGTGATTTGGTGTAGTTAGATCAGCTGTGTGCTCTGCTGCCCCCAGGAGGTATTGGAGTACCTGTTAGACTCAGGTTGATTTCACAGTGGAGTACTCCATCACTGTGGAAAAGCTTGTTGCATACTAGGTGAGCCTCCCAGACCTCCAGCAGCTCCTATTTGTTCACTTCTCAGTGTGATGTTGCTTGTTTAAAGCAGGTACGTAAGAGCTGATTAATGTGGGCACCGTCGTTATTTCAGTTGGGACACCTTTTCCCATGTTACAAGGAGCCATGAAATAGAAATAATCTAAAGAACCTAGCTGGCAAGCCAAAGGCATACTTTTGTGAGCCTGTTATCTTCTACTGCTTAAGCCTCTCCTTTCCTTTAACTTGTCTGTGCCTGAATGCACACTGTTCTCGTTTTAACATGCTGTAACGGAGGTGATGTGTATTCTTAACAGTTCCTGCACTTGTCTAGCCAATGTCCTAGATTTAGACCTTTCTATTAATTTAAGAAATGGTAGACTAGAAGTATTTAAGAAACTTGTATATTTGCCTTTTGTATTTTAAATTTTTAAAATATTTTATTCTTTTGAGTGCAGAAACAAACTTTAATGCAGCACATTCTCCGATGTGACTATGAGGCTTGCAGACAATACCTGATGAATCTTGAACAAGCAGTTGTCTTGGATCAGAATCCACAAGTGCTGCAGACCTTCCTCGGCCATAGATGTGATGGAAACCGCAATATTCTGCATGCTTGTGTGTCTGTGTGCTTTCCAACCAGCAACAAAGAAACAAAAGAGGAAGAGGGTGAGCTCAACAATGTCATGAAAATACTTTAAAAATGAGTTTTTAATGCATTTTCAACAGCCTTTGAAGTAAAGGCTGCATGCTTCATATATGGGTATCTTAAAATTTAACACCTAGAATGTGTCCTAATCTTTGAAAGGTGCTGAGACAGCATTTTTATTACTCTTGTATGGATTTATAAGATTTGAATAGCTACAAATACTAAGCTGGTTTTATTGATTATAAAAGACACTTTTCACATCCACGTGTTAAATTTTAGATGGAAACAACTATTTTTACACCTTTATATCCCTTGTATCACCACTATATCCCTAGTAAACTTTTAAGAGAAATGGTATTTAATAGTTTTCAAGTGCTATACTATATGTTAATGCCTCAAATAAGAAATGCTAATTGCAGTTGAAATCTGTTAAGAAATATGAAAGAACTACTTCCTGTTAGTGCCGGTTACTGACACCATTTAAAAATTTTATTAAATACTGTTATGTAAAAAGTACGTTAACAGAACAAGGTTGCTAAGTCAAGCACTCAAAATTTAGGAAATGCCAGAATAAAGTTTATCCATGTGCTATGCATGGGTATGCATTGTGAAATGGTCTTTAATTACACCGTCATACTATTTTTTCCACAGGACTACCTCATTCAGTGCACAAGATGGACGGTGCTCACCGAATGGGTAGCTATTCAATATTTCTTTTTATCCTCATCATTCAGTGTGTGGCCCCATTCCTTACTTATTGCACACCATACAAACCCTGCACTGAATAATGAATTAACTTCCTTGTGGGATTTTTGTATGGTACTGTCGTTGAATTTTAGTCATTTATAGACCTTAATTGTTCCTCATGCCCCTATTTATGAAATGGGGGTAATGCTGCAGCTTTCTCATCTCTTGAAGGTGTTATAGCTTGATGTTTTTCTGTATTCAAAGCTATTAACTATTTTTGAGGGTTCTGTTTGAGAAACCTAGAGCCTGATTTCGTTATTTTTTTTTTCAAGTACACGTCATTTCAAAACACTTTATTCTAGAGCTGGATTAAGAGTAGTTTTAGTTGTTCTGTGAATAATTAGTTCTGTGAGTTAGGTACTAGAAATGAGTAAAATGTATCCTGATCATCTGTAAAAGCTTGTTTCCCAAAATTCTGTGTGTTGTTAAGATGTGGTGGAGGTAGGTTCCAGTTCTCCAAAGTGATGTTCAGTGATATTAAACACAAGATTTCCCCCTCTCCTTGCCAAGCTGTTGCTGCCTTACTACACGCTTTCCAGCTGTTGCAGCAAACAAAGTGTAAACATCTTGCTCATTGTACAACCCCTTCATCTGTAGTTGTCGTCCATCCTGTGCACTGATTGAGGCAGGGGTCTTGTTGCGGGCTGGGGTGGGACAAAAAAAAACAATCCAAAAAACCTACCCAAACCAAACAAACCCCAACTGTGTAACTGAAGATTGTTTTACTATAAGCACACAAGGAAGCTGGAATAAGGATGCATGGGCAATCTTAATCTGACTTCTACTAATTTGAGTGCTTGTCTTTGCAACCTTGACATTTTTTCAGTAACTTCATTTGGGTGTAATGTAACTTGCTGAAAAATGAAAAACGTGAACCTGATGGACTTTTAACATCCCTCTGCCTCTCTCTTTCCCCTCACAAAAATTGTTTTAAAAGAGGATTCATATCTTTAGCTTCAAATCCCATTCACCTTCCACTGTAACTGTTAGTGATGGATATTAGGACAAGCTTATTTTCTGTGCATCATCTGAAGGGCAGTGTTGTTAATGTTACTGTCTGTAAATTATGCAGCCAGCTGTTAAACTGTCAAAGTTTGATTTAGCAGTAAAAGTTTCAATTCCAGACCTCGGGTAGGATCTTCCTTAACAATTACAGAACATACTGTGTCTTCCCAGCTAGTATCTGCCTGATATTCTTCACTCTTCTTCATATAGATTTCTCCATAAGTGCTGGAAAGGGAACATTGTGGGCAGGGATAAGTATTTTTCGTTCAAGGATCCTGTGCCTAGTTTTGCCATAGCTCCTACAGTACTGGATAAATGAATTGCAGGAAGAGTGGCTCCAGACCAGCAAAGCTGGGAGGGGAAGACTGCTCTGTGTTTCTGTGATTTTGGTGTCTCCTCAGGCTTTCCAATAGAAAGGATCTTGGAAAAGACAGGTCCTAAAGACGTGTCCAAAGCATATGAGCTTCACTGAACACCTACAAACTGATTTTTTTTCTAGAGAATTGAGACAGATTACAGAACAACAGCAAATTACCCTTAGAGCCAGGACTTTACAATTGGTGGGCCTTCAAAAAAGGAATGCTAACTTCATAGGTGGAACAGTGAAAATTCAGTTAGTTTACTGTGGGACCAAGGGTAGGTGGAATCTCTCTACTGCAGAGAATGGTTCTGTTGCTGTCTATTGCTTGAGGGATCACTCTCAAGAGCTCCGTGAGGGCTCCAGAGGTGTACTGTGTGATGGTTCACAAGTTGATATTAGAAAGGAGTACAACACAAATACAATAGTAATTAATTTACAGCTACAGGTCAGCTTGTATGAAAGCTAGGGGCACTTCTGCTAAGCGCTTGATAGTGGCGTGCTGTGGGTAATAAGTGATTTTTTTTTTTGTCTAAGAAACCTGCACATATGTGAGAACAAATAAAGCCTAAGATCTTTGCTGCTTCAGGAAGTGATGAGTAGAAAGATCTAAAGAATAAACATAGTATAAAAGCCGACAAACACCATTAAGTTACCTTATTCTATGAACTAAAAGGTATTAATAGTACAATCTTGTTTGAAAAAAAGGAATTATCCAGGTGTTAGTACTGTCAGTGGTGAAAATGTGTGCAGAGGATGGTGACTGTCAGTTTGAAAAGTCTTTAAGCAAAAATCAAGCACTAGCCGTAGCAACCTTGAGATGTGTCCTGGAAGAACAGTAAGAGTCACTTTAAGGATTTTTTTGTCTTTTTTCAGAAATATGCCTACGATGGTTTGTACAAAAAATAATCATTCACCGTGTTAAAGGGCAAATCACCCTTCTGGTCTGTGTCATGCTCAAAGTGGCTTCTTTTCCGGTTCTTTTTGGATCCATGACTGCAGTGATTCATAATTTGCTACGCAGTGGTTATGCCATGTTTAATTGTCAGTAGCTTTTAAAGAAGCAATGAATGTTACTCTGCAAACCTTGTAGGGCTGACTGTGTACTGCTTTATTTACATATTTAGCTTGCAGCTAAATAAATCTACAGTAGATCTTTGATTCAGGTGTCTGCTTCAAGTTGCACAGTAACTGCAACTGGGCAGTTTTTTTATATTCTGTATAGCATTTGGCACAGTTTGGTCCCTGTTATGACTAGGACCTTTGGGTGTTGTGATGCTTAGAGTTTTAGGTGTTAAAAGAGATGCTCTTTCCTTCTGATGTGAACTGGTTATGCTGCCTAATTATACTTGCAACACAGTTTTCCTAAGCGTGCTCATGAGTAGAACGTGTATATTGCGAGCCCACAGCTTTGTGGTGTTGTTCGTAGCTGATCATTGTGTAGTGGGTTTTTTTGTGGTTCTGTGTTTTGGTTTTCAATACTTTGGAGCCTTGACTGGGCAAGTGTCTAGCAGCTGTGCGATAGGTCCTCATCTCTTGATAGTGAAACTGGAAGTTTGTTCTGGAATTTGAGTGCCTTGAATTTCCTTCCTTGCTGGCATTTTAGAAACAAAACCCAGTCAGAACCACGGTTAAGCTCATCCAAAACAAAAATTTCTGTATGAACCTATTCTGTCCCTAAAAAAACTAATGCAGGGAATGTTTTATGACTAGTGATGTTTCATACTTTATGCACCTTCCCTATAATTTTTCCAAGTGAAATTTTGGCACTAAGATTTTTTTCTTTATTCTTCAGAAGCAGAGCGCTCTGAAAGGAACACATTTGCTGAAAGGCTCTCGGCGGTGGAAGCTATTGCAAATGCCATCTCTGTTGTGTCAAGTAATGGTCCAGGAAATCGGGCAGGATCATCAAGCAGCAGAAGGTAAACTGACTAATGCTTTCTCCTTGTTTTCTGTATGCTAATTTCCAAGTTACCAGTCTCTTAATAATTCTTCCCTTCAGTCTAGTTTAAGAATGGGCATGTTGCTAGTTTAATGTCAGATTTAATTTAATCTGCTAAGCTAGAGCTCTGCTGGTTTTTTGAAGCCTTTTCTGGTGTGAGAACTAAGTGTGGGCTACTTCTAAAGTAATTTCTGTTTTCTGAGGTTGGAACGTTGTATCCTCGATTGTAAAGTGGAAATCCTCTTCCTTGTGGGCAAATGGAATTTGAGGATAAGTTCTAGTGTTCTTTACCAAGGAGAATTAAGTATTCCGTATGTCCTATAATAGAGGCCAAGCTTGTTCTTTCAAAAGAATTTCTGAGGGAGGTGGTCACTTATGCAGAAGAATAATACTGAGATCAACATGACACCACTAGGGAAGAACTTAAGTTGATTCTTTTTATCCTAAGCATTCATTATTATAGTGGAAGTTCTTTGTATTGAGGTGACTCTAAAGCATAGGTTTCTGGCCCTGACAGAATCCTAATTTCTGATGAAGTGTATGTTATTTCTCTTTCCATGATGGTAACTGGCTCGTGCTAATGTCAAGGCAATTTGATAGTATGTGTACCGAGTGCTGGTCAGTTCAGAGCACTCTGGATGAGGGCATAGTACAATATTTTTTTTACTTAACTCTGTAGTCAAAGCAACTGATGTGAAATGATGTCTATATCCTTCCCAAGCCACAATCCTCATTACTGTGATCTTTATGATATGGGAGATAAGGGTAAAGGTTGAAGCTTCCCTCCCAGGTTCTCTAGGAGACATTACTCTTAAGAGGAATTGCATTTAAAAAAACCCAACCAAACAAAAGCACCTTTATGTTTGTACATATTTGTTTGTATCACAGTGGTTTCTTTGGCTTCTACCTTCTTTCTAGCACCTTTTCCTCTACTAAGATGATACGGAGTTTCTTGAAATTGTTTACTGACCATAGTACTTTCATGTTAAATAACTTCAAAGAAACAACTCCTTTCAGGGGTAAAAAAAATTATATTGAAGCCCCATTTTTATTCTTTCATTGGCCTCTTCTTTAAGTTAGATCTTAAAACAACAGCAGCAACAAGAACAAAATCCTTGTACAAATTTAACAAACCTGGCAGTGTTTGTGGTAAAACGAATGCCAGATAGTGTTAATAATGCCCATCAGCTGCTGCTCCATGCAAGAGGCAGTGCTGTGGTGGCTAGGGATGGATTCTGCCTTCATATCTGTCTTGGTATGTTGCTGTCTCTTTTTCCGAGGCTGTTAAGTTCTTTTGCAAAAAAAAAAAGAGGGCAATACAGCAATAAAAACTACCTCTTCACTCATCTTCATGCTGAACAAAAATAGAGATAAGAGTTTGCTTTCCATTTTCAGTTTGAAATCCTGCTTTAACCTTTTCTAAAAATAAATGAAACCAAGATAGTATTTTTACCTTGTTTTTGTATTCAGTTTGAGACTGAGGGAGATGATGAGAAGGTCCTTGAGAGCTGCTGGATTGGGCAGACATGAAGCTGGTGCTTCATCAAGTGACCACCAGGACCCAGTTTCCCCACCAATAGCTCCTCCCAGCTGGGTTCCAGATCCTCCTGCAATGGATCCAGGTAAGTCCTCCTCATGTATCACGTTAGACTGTAGAATGAGAGATTTACTGAAGGAACTGATGGCTTTTAAAGCGATTCACACAGATTTCAGCATGAGACTAAAATAATTAATGTCACTGAGGTAGCAAGAGGCCATTGCTGTAGCTTTAAGAGTTTACTGAAGACTTAACAGCAGTTTTTAAATCCAGTATGTGTCTTTCTAATGCTGGAGTCAGACTTCTGTGAAGCCTGTTTTGTAATGTTGGTTACATTGCTAACCTAGGACTACGGCTGCCTGTAGGGAAGAGTACCAATTAAATACAGAAAACCTGCAGTATGTTAGACATTGCAGAAAGAGCATGTTGTTAGGGATGTTTTTATGTATTGATATACATCCTGCTGTTCTGTTTACTGAAAGATGGTGACATTGATTTTATCCTGGCCCCCGCTGTGGGATCTCTTACCACAGCAGCGACTGGCACCGGCCAAGGACCTAGCACCTCCACAATACCAGGTGAGGACATACTGCTTATCTAATTATGCTTTAGAAGGAAAATTATTTCAAAAGCTGTCTTTGCTTGCACAGACTTTCTGCAGATAAAAATGCTTATTATCAGATGAAGATGGGATTGAAGCAGAATTTCACAACTGTGCAGAAAGTAAATGAAGCACCATGCTGTGGTTTATGTAAAGATTTTTTTTTTTACCTGGTGAATGACAAATATATAAAAATGTGCTAATCTTAATGAAATTGGGATTACTGTCTGTATTCCAGAATGTAATTTGGAACTGAAATTTACAGTACTTCAGTGAGATGTTGCTGAAACTGGCAAACCATGGAGTAGTCAAGCTACTGATTATTCACCCTGTGAAGCATTGAATTATTTGCTTTTAATAGGTAGTCATTTTTTTAAGGAAAAATTTTTACTCTGCAATTTTATTTTTCTTATTACAGGTCCTTCTACTGAACCATCTGTAGTGGAATCAAAGGATAGGAAGGCAAATGCTCATTTCATACTGAAATTACTGTGTGACAGTGTTGTTCTACAACCTTACCTTCGAGAATTACTGTCAGCTAAGTAAGGATTTTCATGTGAATTCTCACTGTTCTTTTGTAATGTTACATGACCTGAAATTTATTACATAGAAGACCCTTAAAACGGTTATTTAAAAGTGCCTTACAATGGAAATCGATCGATCAGCTGTATTTGTGTCTTGCCATCCCTTAAAGTTAGGCCTATTTCACAGGGGTAAAACAAGTAAGAGTGCTTACTCACTCTGTGGTGTTTTTTGTTTGCACAAGATTTTCTGTGCTAAGTTTTCATATATTTGTTTCCTACCTCTCCTGTTAAAACAAAAAATTTCAGTGTGTTTTAACTTGTCTCTTGTTTTTTTCCCTAGGGATGCAAGAGGCATGACACCGTTTATGTCAGCAGTTAGCGGCCGGGCGTATCCTGCTGCAATTACAATTCTAGAAACTGCACAGAAAATTGCTAAAGGTACACCAGTTTCAGTAATTATAAGCATGTAGTTTCCTTCTAAAGTTTGGTATATGTGCATATTTGTTATTAACAGTGCTTTTTTTGCGTGAAATTATATGCACTTGAACAACTGGTGATGGTGGTGAACACCTCTTTCCAAGAAGCTGTTTATTGTTGCATGTTTTGGAAATCTTGCTATTATGGACTATCGTCCTCTCTTGTAGTGTGTATCTGATAATAGATTTATATGAATACTTTTGCTTTTATATTCTTTAGTCTTTTTAGCATTTCATTGCTTTACAAACATCAGTGGATTAAGGCACTGCTTTTCAGTAGCACAAAGGTATCGCCTGGAATTTCCTTCTTTGAATTGGAAAAAGCTTTCTTAAACTATGACAGAGACTTTATTCAAACTTCTAATTCTGCATGGTGTTTTGTAATGGCAAACATCTGTCAAGTATGGGTTCTATTGGTGAGGTTTTGTTATTTTGGGGGGATTGTGTTTTAACCGGCTCTGTGTTGTTCTTTTAGCTGAAGCAACATCCAGTGAAAAAGAAGATGATGTGTTCATGGGAATGGTTTGTCCTTCTGGTACAAATCCAGATGACTCTCCTTTGTATGTTTTGTGTTGTAACGATACATGCAGTTTTACATGGACTGGTGCAGAACATATTAACCAAGTAAGGGTGTTTTTTTATTTCTTTCCTTTTTAAGTAATGTGCTTCAAACATATATTGTGTTATTCTACTAATTTAATTTTAAATTATTAAAGTAGCATTTTTTTAACTATTGTGACTTTTAAGTCTGGTATAATTATTGCTTTCCCTTAATTGCTTTGTACTCTCAAAGCTGTCTGTGTTGGTCAGAATATGGCTGTTTATGGGTGTGGCTTTTACCCAGTGGCTAGCTTTGGCAAAAATGTTGATGGAAACAGCTCTTTGAAACCACTGAATATTCTAACAAAGTTTCACTTTTCTAGAATTGACTTACTTCTAAAAGAGGGCATCAGTTTGAACAAGAGCAGTTTTACTGCAGCCTGAAATGCTGTGAGATTGCAAGTGCTATAGGGAGAAAGCAATGCATAATGGTTTTGGTAATTTTTTTTTTTTTTTTTTAGGATATATTTGAATGCCGAACATGTGGCCTGTTGGAATCTCTTTGTTGTTGCACAGAATGTGCAAGGGTCTGTCACAAAGGACATGATTGCAAGTAAGTATTGTGCTCTGTTGCTTATAATTAAATCAATATTTTGTGGTTTCATTTTTCTACTGATAGTTAATAGTTTCTTTCCTTGGTTGAAGTGTTCAGATATTAGAGAGCAGAAGACAAAATATTTAAAAGATTGTCTTTTCATCCTGCTCTGCAAGATTTATTTCATGGGTCAGAATTGAAAGAGTTCCCTGAAGGAGTCTTGGGTTTTTTTTCACTTTATAGAATTTAAATCATTAATTCTGACATCCTCAGAGTGTTTAATATTCTAAGAATAATATACCTAAATAACACTATGCTTTCATTTTGGGTGTCTCCAGGAGTTTTCTGAAGCCAGTGAATTCTGATGATAGATCATTCTTGTAAACTTTCAGAAAGAAGTATAGCATATTAATCCCTAAGATCAAGTGTAATAAAAGAAAAAGTGAGCAAGCAGTAAACTGAACAGTCAAGATGCCTGATCAACCTGGCAACTATTGTTACTGCTGCTGTTTTCTGTTCCTTCTGTGTTGTATTAAATTCTCCTTATCTCAACCCATGGGGTTTTGTATTTTTCTCCCTCCCAGGGGTTGGGGGGTGAGCAAGCGGCCATGTGGTACCCGGCTCCCGCTTGGGGCTAAACCACCACAGTCTTTTTGGCGCCCAGTGTGGGGCACAAAGGGTTGAGATAATGAGAGAATCTGACCAAAGTGTGTTAAAACAGTGTTATACAACCTTTTCCCTTTTTGGTATTAGTTAAATAATGCCTGTTCACAATGTTAGCCAGTTTGCTTGCATGGTTGTCCTTGTGTTACTCCTTATGTCCTGTGTGTGTTCCCTCTGATGTTTGCCACCTCTGGGAAATGGGTCAGGGCTCTCGTCGTGTGTTACTGGATGCTGACAGCTTATCATATGATTGTGTCACTGGCTAGGAGGTTAAAGGGGTATGTGCATGTGGCCTTGTCATTTTTCAGTGATCTCACCCAATCTGTGGGTGAGACTGGGGCGGAGACTCTCTCAACTTTTGAGAATTTTGGCTATCTGTGGACCATCCAGGCCCGCATGTTCTCGGTGCTATGTGTTTTAAATGTTTGCCAAGTTTTGTTTAGGGTTACACAATTCATCTCTTAAGAACATCACTCAGAGATCTGCTCCAAGGCTGGATAGTTACAAGTGGCAGGATGTGTGGGAGAGTATAGGCACACGCCCAGGCCAGTCGTCACCCCCAATGTTCTGGAATTTCACCCTTGAACAAGTGCAGAGTCCTGATAAAGCAATTACAAAAGGTGTGTTGTCAGCCTGGCAGTCCCCGAGAAATGCAAATCGTGGCAATGTGTTAAGGGCCTTGCCCACACCTACTGAGTGCTCCTCAGCACTATTCAGTGCCTTCGGGAGGGAAGAGGTGGTCTCTGAGCCTGAAAGCAGTCCAGCAGATGCTGCAGCTGACCTGCAGAACTATCCTGTGCCTGTATCAGTTGCCCCAATACAGAAGAAGAAATACACAAAGAAATCAGTCACCGTAGTGAGGGATGCTGATGAACTGGGGCCATCATGAGAACAGGAGGAAGAGCCAGAGGTGGTCACCCGATCCCTGTCCCCGAGTGAGCTGTGACATATGAAAGGATTTCATCCCTCTGCCTGGTGAGCAGCTTCTCACCTGGCTGCTCCGATGCTGGACCAGTGGGCCTGGCAGTGTGGAACTTGAGGGGAAGGAGGCCAAGCAACTGGGATCTCTGTCCAGAGAAGGAGGCATTGATAAGGCAGCAGGGAAACAGACACAAGCCCTCAGCCTTTGGAGGAGACTCCTGTCAGGTGTAAAGGAAAGGTACCCCTTCAAGGAAGATGTCACATGTCACCCAGTTAAGTGGAACACAGTGGAGAGAGGTATCCAGTGCCTGAGAGAATTGGCTGTGCTGGAATTGACTACAATGACCAGAATGATGAGGATTTGCCCAGAGATCCAGATGAAGTCCAATACACACCACCTATGTGGCAGAAGTTCCTGCGAGGTCTACCACCATCACATGCCAACTCCTTGGCGGTAGTGTCCTGGAGGAATGGCCAGGGACAAACGGTGGATGAATTGGCTGGCCAGCTCCAGCAATATGAAGGAAGCATCATCTCCTCCCTACAGGCCTGCATTTCATCTGTGAAAGAACTGTCCCAGAAGGCCCAGAAAATTGAAGAAGATCTGTCTTACACTCCACCTGTACGGGCCCATGTCTCTGCTATTGGAAGCATACACTCCCCTGCCCAAGAGAGAGGATGCAGAAAGTACACCCCACATGGCATCTTGTGATTCTGCTTACATGACCATGGAGAGAACATGAGCAGGTGGGATGGAAAACTCACTTCGACCCTAGCTGCATGGATACGTGAGTTGCCACGGAGAGCAGTTGTGAAAGGGGAGTCACCCCAGAAAAACATTGCTCCAGTGTCTAGTGGGAAACTCTCCAGATAGAACAGAAGAGCTGATCTTATGTCTGACCCTCCTGAGGGGCCCTCAAAGTAATTTTTATAGGAAATGAGCGACTCCAACCAGGATTAGAGGAGCCCTGCCTGCAGCCAGGTGGAGGAGAGGGACGATGGGATGTACTGGACTGTGTGGATCCGGTGGCCTGGCACATCAGACCCACAGGAGTACAAAGCTCTAGTCGATACTGGTGCACAGTGTACCCTGATGCCATCCTGCTATTGCAGGCCCAAATGGATCTGTATTGCTGGGGTGACAGGGGAGTCCCAGCAGCTCGCTGTACTAGAAGCTGAAGGGAGCCTGACTGGGAAGGAGTGGCATCAACACCCCATCGTGACTGGCCCAGAGGCCCTGTGCATTCTTGGCACAGACTACCTCAGGAGAGGATGTTTCAAGGACCCAAAAGGGTACTGGTGGGCCTTTGGTATCACTGCCTTGGAGGAACTTGAGCACTGCTCTGGGGGGACCGTTCGGTGGTGGGTTTGTTGGGGGTGAAAGGCCAGCAGCTGCCAGTCGCTACCACGACGGTGCAACAGTGTCGGTATCGCACCAGCCGACATTCCCTGACCCCATCCAGAACCTGCTTCACCAGCTAGAGAGCCAGGGAGTGATCAGCAAAACTCGCTTACCCTTCAACAGCCCCATATGGCCAGAGCAAAAGCCTAATGGAGAATGGAGACTGACAGTGGGTTACAATGGCCTGAGTGAAGTGACACTTGCGATAAGTGCTGCTGTGCCAGATGTGCTGGAGCTTCAGAATGAGCTGGGAGTCAAAGGCAGCTAAGTGGTACACCACGGCTGACATGTCTAATGTGTTCTTCTCCATTCCTGTAGCACCAGAGTGCAGGCTGCAGTTTGCTTCTGCTTGGAGGGGGATCGGAGGGGCATCCAGTACACCTGGAATTGACTGCCCCAGGGGTGGAAACACAGCCCCACCACCTGCCATGGCCTGATCCAGACTGCAATGGAGAAGGGTGGAGCACCAGAACACCTTCAGTATATTGACAACATCATTGTGTGGGACAACACAGCAGAAGAAGCCTTCAAGAAAGGGAAGAAAATAATTGAAATTCTCCCGAACGCTGGTTTTGCCATAAAACAAAGGAAACGCAGGCTTTCTTGGGTGCTGGGGGTTTCTGGAGAATGCACATCCCAGGACTACAGTCTGATTGTGAGTCCTGTCTACCAAGTGACATGGAAGAACAACGATTTCAAATGGGGCCCTGAGCAGTAGTAAGCCTTTGAACACATTAAACAGGAGACTGTGCACACAGTAGCCCTCGGGCCAGACCAGGCAGGACAAGATATTAAGAGCATTCTCTACATTGCAGCCGGGAAGAATGGTCCTACCTGGAGCCTCTGTCACAGAGCACCTGGGGAGACCTGAGGCCAACCTCTGGCGTTTTGGAGTCATGGATACAGAGGATCCAAGGCCAACTACACTCCAAGTGAAGAAGAGATACTAGCAGCCTATTAAGGGCGCCCTCAGACTGGTTCTGGGGAAAACCAGCCAGTGAATTAAATTGTGTGGTGTTAATTGTTAAATAACTGCTGGCCATGACGTAGGTGGTACCAAATGAGGGTGGAATGTCTTGGTTGGGCCAGGATAGGGTTGGTTTTACCTGGAGCTGTGGGGGGAGCTCTAGGCAGGGCAGGCAGGCAGCCCAGCAGGGGGGTATTTGCTGCCATGCTGACCCCGTGCC